ATATGGGAAATACATAATGTGGCCCGCACATTGAAAAGTTTGGAGACCCCTGCTCTAGGGTGATGCTGTAGGCGAACGCCGAGGTAACTCATCAAGAGCTTTATTCAACAGGAACGCAACATCCTGGAACAAAATAACACTACTACAAACAGGAAAAACTGTAACGTAATAAGAATTTATTCATATGTGAAGGTCTTACACATAACGAAACTATTTACAGAATACTTACAAGAACAGTAGTTGTAGGTCTTCAACGTACAAGAGCGGAGTCAATGCTAACAATGGTCACTAGTTCTAGAACGAAGCAACTTACTCGTAGAACTATTGTACGGAATACTAGGTACATGTGGGTACTACAATAGAAATTTCATGGCAGGTGAAAACCGTCATGTCAATCCGACTTGCTTGGATCTCGAGCGACTAGACACTTCTTCTAAAAGCAATCATTCTTTTATCGAAAAACTTTTTAACTTTGTGTCCATTAGACTGTCCGGCAAAGACAGAAAACAATCAAAATTCACTTCCGTAAAAACGGCGTAAACACATTAAGAACATTAGCGTTGCCAGCATCAGATAATATATTTCTCTGATCTATTTTCAAATCGAAAATATCGTCGATAGTCTTAGACTTAGTACTGGCGAAGAGGGCTTACTAGTTCAGAGTAGTTCTCTTCTCAGTTTCGGCAATAACTCTTCCGACCTCCTTCACAGCGGACCTATACAGCTAGCTGCTTTAACTCGATTTCCTGCTTTGGTGTATAGGTTATTAAAGCTTGCAATATATGCACCACGAGCCAGGTTCTCACAGTCCCGACAGAGCCAGTGAAGTGATTCTGTTCTATATGCACGCATCGCTCAAATGATGCACATTAAAACTTATGCAGCATTTACAAGTGACCTTCTGTTTGAACAGCTTTTGCTGACTTTGTTAAGTAAACGTATTAGATGCGTCGGTGGGTGCGTCGGCCCATCATAGAAGCCATTTAATGAGCGCCTGGAGTAATACAGAATAAGAATATTACGATATTCCATAATAAACTGTAGAATGATCGAGATACGACTCCTTAAATGTCGTTTCAAAATTTCAATTTCAAGCGTTGCGAAACTCTTCCTTTTCTACTTCATTATGAATGAAGTTGCATTCGAAACGTCGTAAAATTATCCCGGCAAGGGATGACCGAAGGGTACGGCCGACAATAAAATTCTTTGTTCGTCTTTGTGGTTTACTGTTTTAGGTGAAGAGATATTCATCAGATGAACGTAATTTGCCTGGGAATGAATTGCTAATGGATAAATTGTTTTATACAGCGATAAATGATTTATTCCGATGCATAATTGTGGAGAAATTGTTTATTAAGACTTTTCCTAATGTTACATTTACAATTTGCATCATTCGAATCTGTAGATCAAGTTTTAAATCTTGTCTACACATACAGAGCCACAATACACAAGCTAAACTGTAGCAATTATTGCTTCTTGATTGTGTGATTTTATTCATTTTTAGTTTAGTCGAACTGATGATGGAGCTGGACTCCGAAACGTTTTCAATATCGATATGGTGAATTTTCTTGGCGTTTTCTTTGCTTTTAAATTCCTTGCTTCTTTTCTTAATGAATTTTTAAACGCAACAACACGAGTAATTTTCACCTCAAAAAATAAAAAAAAATCAACATCAGGTAATAAGTCCACGGGTTTTGTATCGAAAAATTCACGTGTCTGGTCAAACTGGGTTCATCCGCTCCGCTCGGGGTTCAGTTTGAAACTCCTTCCAATGAAATTGCAATTTCGCATTGAGAAATTTTTGCAAACTTTGCATCAGCAGCCATGATGTATAATTATTTACCATTCAGCTAATTACCTTCAGCGGCAGTTTTATTTAAGTAAATTAACCAGTTAACCGCCATGCTCAGGTGGCGTTTTATGACTTAGCAGCACAGACTGCGGAAACAGGCAATTAAGGAATGCGGCCAAATTCCTTCATCTTTCCAATTATATATGATCCAAAGAATTACGAAACAAAGCAAAATAAAATAATATGCTTTAAAAATTACTTTTTAAAGACAATACTTCTGAACGATCCAATGTCTTGGATGTTACACATGTGCAATGAATTTCTAATTTTATTTTTAAATATTTAAAAGAAGAATTATTTTTCAAAATTTTTTAAGATATCTAAATTTTGTAAATTTTCAAAAATTATTTATTCTGTCAATTGATTCATGCATTGTCTCTGACTTTGCAATTGTGCAAAATTTCAGATCAATTGGACAGTTCAAATTATGTCATATATGGATTATAAGATTTGTAGCATACGAAATTATTTTTAACTTTTTTTTAATAATGAAAAAAAAAAATTTAATTAAAAAACTATTTATTCTGTCAATTGAATCATGCATTGTCTCCAACTTTACGCAAGTGTGCCAAATTTCAGATCGATTGGACAGGTAGAAGTGTGTTAATTATCGATTATAAGATTTGTAGCAGACAGACAGACAGACAAACAAGAAGTGAAGTTAAAGAGCAGTCTTGTAAGAAAGTTACTGAGCTTATTACTATAATCTTAAACTGAACACAAACGATTTCTTCTAGCTAACGCGATCAAACGAGAGGAGACTTAAATATATTATACCCTAGAATAAATAAAAAATTACTGGGCATATTACTATAGCCTTCAACTGAACACAAGCAATTTGTGCTTGTGAACACGATTAAACGATAGAGATTTGAATATATTCTACCTTAGATTATAAAAAAGTTACTGAGCTCATTACTATAATCTTAAACTGAACATAAGCGATATTTTCTAGTTAACGCGATCAAACGAGAGGAGACTTAAATATATTATATCCTAGAATAAATAAAAAATTACTGGGCATATTACTATAGTCTTCAACTGAACACAAGCAATTTCTGCTTGTGAACACGATCAAACGATAGACTTGAATATATTCTACCTTAGATTATAAAAAAGTTACTGAGCTTATTACTATAATCTTAAACTGAACATAAGCGAGATTTTCTAGTTAACGCGATCAAACGATAGGAGACTTAAATATATTATTCCCTGGAATATGTTAAAAATTACCGGGCATAATATTATACTCTTGAACTGAACAACAGCAATTTCTGCTTGTGAACACGATCAAACGATAGGAGACTTGAATATATTACACCTTAGAATATAAAAAAGTTACTGAGCTTATTAGTATAATCTTAAACTTAAACTGAACACAAGCGAAATTTTCTAGTTAATGCGATCAAACGATAGGAGATTTAAATATATTATACCCTAGAATAAATGAAAAATTACTGAGCATATTACTATAGTCTTGAACTGAACATAAGCAATTTCTGCTTGTGAACACGAGCAAACGTTAGGAGACTCAAATATATTATAAATAAGAATATAATAAAAGTTACTGAGCTTATTACTATAATCTTNTTATTTTTTTTTAATAATGAAAAAAATTATAATTTATGAAATTATTTATTCTGTAAATTGATTCATGCATTGTCTCCAACTTTACGCGAGTGTGCAAAATTTCAGATCGATTGGACAGGTAGAAGTGTGTTAAATATCGATAATAAGATTTGTAGCAGACAGACAGACAGGCAGGCAGACAGACAGACAGACAGACAAACAAACAAGAAATGAAGTTAAAGAGAAGTATTGTAAGAAGGCAAGGAATGTAAAGCAGTTGAAGGAATGAGCTCGAGAGTTAAATAATTCTTAGAATTAGGCAAGTGCGAAGGATGTGAAGGAGTTCGTTGTTTTTAATCACACGATCACGATGCGTGAAGCTTTTCCCACACATTCATAAGTCACGAGACAGAAGGAATTGAAAATTAAATGAGAAATTCATTGTACATTTGTAAGATTGAAGGCACTGGATTCTTTAGAAGTGTTGTCTTTAAAAAGTAATTTTTAAATGTATTAAAAATCATCTCTGTAGGAGATGTATATTTTTAATTATACAGAATTTACTTGCAAATGATCGATACCATTGTTGACGAAATGAGAGTTAACAAGTGTGTTCAGATTTAGGAATTTTTAGCTTTTCCCTTCTATCTATGAAGAATCTTTGACACACATGAACTTGTACAGAAGATTGCGCCAAAGTGTATAGTTCTACTTGCACAAAAATAGTGCATGTAGTTATTTGCAGAAATGGGCGACACTACTAATAAATAATAATTAATACTATTAAGTTAAATCTAAAGGCCTTATCTATTAATTTAGCGGTAGCGCTGTAGCGGCAAAACCTCGTATCGCTACTTAAATATGTAGCGGGCGCTACCGCTACTGCTACAACTGCTTAAATGTAGCGCCGCTACCGCTACTGAAAATGTAGCGGACGCTACATGTAGCGCGCTACTGCCCACATCTGGTTATTTGAAAGATGACGACCAGTGATTAGTGCGTTTACATAAAAGTACAATTATTTTAATGAATTACTTATATTAAAGTGATTCTAAGTTTCGTAGATGTGTTCAACTAGCAGATTATTCTGCTGCTCGCAATAGCTATTGACGGGATTTCATAAACCCTTCATTAGAAAATATTCTATCCATGTTCCTGGTATAATTTCACATAATAAAGGCATAAATTCACATTCTATGCCAATATTTCAAATATGAACGGAATCTAACAGTTCAAATCAAATTTCAATTGTAATAAATTGTATGGTCGATACAATCTGTGTAGCACCAGTGCCTAGCCCTCCGCATGGTCCATGTCAAGTATTTTATACACCGTCACTCTAAAATGTCTTCATTGACAGGCGGGCTTATTCCGGCTTTCCCATTGATATATTTAAAATGAGTTGCAGAATTAAAGACGAAATTTTTCTTCGAACCGGAGGAATAAGCCGTGTTTACGGGGGAATAGAAAGCACGCTGGTATAGAAAAGAAAAGTTCATCATTAAACTCCTGCAGAAATCATAAAAAATATCAATAAATTTGGAAAAAATGCCGATAGTAGGTGACCAGCAGCTCTCACCTAGACATAAGCTAACGCCGGACGCAGAAGCGATCAGCAGGGGGCGCCTCCCGACCGAGTCCATGATAAATTTGACGAAGAAACAAGAGACTGTGGAGCACAGGACGAACACCGTCGCCCCCAACTGGTCTGGCAGCGCTCCTTTGGCCGCCTGTGGAACTCCCATTAATCGTCTCACTGTAACGCTAAATGCTTGTTTAGAGTTCCAGTAATTATTCGACATAAGATTAATTGTACTCACTTCACACACACACACGCTCGAACACGCAGTTACGCCATCGAATTATTCCCAAAATTGATCAGATATGTCAACATATGTTCGTAAATTTATTTTTTTGGTATTAAATTCCTATCACAAGTTCAAGTTTTAAATATAAGTTAATGCCTAATGTTCTCAGCAAGCAAGTTTGTACAAGAAACTTTCAGTTTACTAGAGTCAGGCACTAACTCGATTGTACAGCAGGGCGTTCCACAAATCTGCCCTGAGCAAAACGTTTCTAATCGCTGATAAATCTCATATTATTTTGTAGTGCTCGGAGATCGATCCTTTTTCTTGCAACTACCAGTACGTTCTATATCAATGAGATTCAGATAATAATATATCAAGGTAAATCTTTGGTTAGCGGCAGAATATTTTTTTCTGTAATGGACACGAGAAGTGAACTCATAGTTTCAGTTCATGTGTAAGCAACAATAGAACGTCATGCATAAAAAAATACCAGTAATAAATAACTATTTACCGTCAGCGTTAAACGATTCGTTTTGAAAAAGATTGTGCTTTAATTTTTCTGTAAATCTAATCACACTGAAACCCCTGCCTATCAATTTTGATTATGTATTATATATTTTGAGAGGTAAAATCAAAATACCCTATTCGTCGATAAGAGCTATGACAATATTTCTCTATAAATGTTTCTTCGGATAAAAATTCCAACACATTTGCGAATTATATTCATAGGTGAATGAAGTATAGATAATAAATAACCGCTTAACACTCACGAGGGATGAGATGCAACCATTACCTTAAGAAAGAGGCTACTGTGGGACTCGATGCCAGTTATGCCTGTAAATGTTCGTGCCACGAAGGCCAAGCCGACAATAAGCAGGGGTTTGTACACAGTTGCTTGTGTGATAAGTGACCACGATCGATTTTGTGTCGCGTTTGACTGGACGAATTGCTGCAGCTTCCCAAACTCTTCTTCTATGTCAACGTCACGGCCTTGAAAGGAGAAGCGGTTGCGCATTTCAGGTAATATTTTCTATCTGCGTGCTTCGAGGCTTACAGAGATATCAAATTCCATTTGGCTTTTGCGATTCAGTAAACTATAGTACAATATTACCTCGGAATCTTTGAAGCGCTGCTTTTGCTTTGTCTGTTCTATTTTTGAGTAAATGGAAAGTCGGGGACTCAGGAAAGAAGGGTAACAGCGACGTGCACGCCACAGAAGGACCCAGGCACGCCACAGCGAGTTGCTGCCACGGTAGCCACATGCCCAGGACGTACGAGTACACCACGCCCAACGCATACAGTACACTGAAGCTCGAGCCTGCGCTCATTGTAATACATGCCTCAATGACAAGAAACCTAAAAAATTATCGAAATTAGGTTTGAATTCATGACAGCATGCTAATCATTGACAAAACTATTCCAATATATTGACAAACTATCCCTACATATTGACAAAACTATCCCTATATATTGACAAAACTATTCCTATATATTGACATAACTATCTCTATATATTGACAAAACCATCCCTATATATTGACAAGTCTATTCCTTTATATTGACAAAACTGTCCCTATATATTGACAAAACTATTCATATATAGNATCTCTATCATTCTACAGTGTATTATGGGATATTGCATGTAGTATTCTTATTTTGCATTACTCCAGGCGCTCATTAAATGGCTTCCATGATGGGCATCATAGGAACTAACTTATGTGGTGCATTAAAAAGAAAACTATTGCACGGGTCGATGCAATGCGACTGTTTCCTTACAGATAACCGAATACATTTTTTTTATTGTCAAAGCCCCAAGCTAAATCTTGGGGTGCGTCGACCAAAGTATTTCTCCATTTTTGACTATGATAAATCTCCTATTTATAGCGGCATATGCGCCTGTGCACCCTCATCTATACCTGCTTGATCGCGACTGTCAGTGGCGGGGTAAAAATTTAAGATACGTACACCGTCTCGGACACATCTCCTTCCCTTCACATCTTAACATTTTTCGAGTTTTTTTATAGAAGTAATTTTTTCTATTGCAACCGGTAATTCTTTAGAGGTTACGTGGATTCACACCGCTTCGCGAGAGGAAAAACAGAGTTCACAATTTGAAATAGCTCGCCCTTTTCTGAATTATACTTGTATACTTCAATGAGGTCCCCACGCAGACGTCAATAACTGAGTCAGTTATCGACGTCAGGGAGAAATTTCAGGCGTTTTTCAGCAGAATTTCACCTCCATTTCAGCAGAATTCAGAATTTTAGCAGAATTTCACCTCCAAGTCAGGCGGCAGAATTTTATCAGGAAGATCTTCAAAAACTGGTGCCACGTTATGAGAAGTGCCTTAATATTCACGGAAATTATGTAGAAAGTAGATTAAGGTACAGGCTTTGATGTAAAAATGAAATTATTGCGATGTCATTTTTTTAATTCCTAAACGATCCCTACTTAAAAAACATGCCTCGTAGCTTACAAACTGACCAGAGGCTGCCCTTTAAACCCTGAGCCGAAGCAGTCAAAGAGAAGCTGATTTACGAGCTCACCGAGTCTTAAGCGGCACCCATTTCAGAGTCATGCGCACACAAAAATTTTGTTCGGGTACCGACCCGCAATATATTCCAGCGGCACATTCACTAATAACAAATTAGTGATTTATATTAGAAAAATGAAAGCGCACGTGTACCTGGTGTTACGCGGGTTCATCGACAAAGCTCAAACGAGAGGCAGCCGTATTAAAAAAATTTCACTCATACGAGCTTTATGTATCAACAAAGTAAGTGAATGAATGCTACTTGTGCTAATATAGCAAAAGAGGGAGCAACTGTGAAGAAGATCGAGCAACTGGTTGCATGCGGATAAACAGTTGTCAGAAAGTTTTTGTGCTTCTGGTTTTGTATTAATTCAACTAATACGATAAAAATTTAAATTATTGGAAAGTTTTCCAGATCAGCAATGAAGAATAAATTGTTTCCATGAACTCCATTTGACTTAATAAATTGTATTTCTAATAACTGAGGTCAAGAAAAGCGTCACTCCTGGCCACTCAATTACCGGACTGATTTGCAAACAAATTAAGTTCGAAATTTTCGATCAGGATATATTTTGATGATTTGTGTGGGGATTAACGCAGTAGATTTAACAGCGGCTTTACCAGGCCCTAAACTCACATTTAATCCGGAAACCTTTTAACGATTCTGATAAACAATGGAGGGAGAATTATTCTATGGAAATATTCAACGGAAACTCGGTCACAGGCGAAGAAATCTTTATTAAAGCAAAATATTTAACATTGCAATGAAAATTGTAATCACTTCTTAATTTATTAAAGTGGTCTCAAAAAGGTCAACTTGAATTACAGCATAGCACTCTATTCTTTAGAATAGATCTAAGACACGTCTTTGTAAACCACAGCAAACCAAACAACAAGCAACTAAAATTTGAAAGCCGTTACTTCAAGGTTCAAGTATTGCTGCCCGTGGAAACCTTTAGTAAAGGAAGACGAAGAATTGGAATCAACGTTCAATACTTCCGTATTCAATAAGTTTTGACTTCTCTTCGAAAAGTTCTGATATTTCCTGCAGTGTTTTTCCTTTTGTTTCCTTGACGAACATAGCGATCAGTATTGCTGTAGCAACGTTGAGAGCAGCCAGTGCTAGAAATAAGCCGTATGATTGAAGTGAGTCCTGGAAATGAGTGTGCATTTAATGGGTCACATTAATATAGTGAATATATCAAGCATTTATAAATAGTTTATGATCTGGACGTGGAGATAGTTTTAATGACATTATTAAACTGTGATAATAATTTTTATAATCACAACCTGCTACTGACAAATCTTTTAGTCGGAGATAAAATATATAAATCAGTCTGCGTTTCGTTTAGACTCCTCCGTGTGGCTAAGTAGCTCATATTGTTACTTAAATATTTGCAATATTAATTAATATTAAATATTTTCATCAGTCAAATTAAATCACACTGATATATTACCTCTTGTTGGCTGAACAAAATGACCATCAACAGGTGCATGGTATTTGAACTGAGCACCGTTATCGCACCGGCCTTCTCCTTGAACCATGGTGGTAACATTTCCCCTGGAAAAATATCAGTTATTATGAGGGTTGAAACTTACAGCTGGAAATCGTAAGTTATATAAATAGAATTTTGAAATATAGTTTGACCTTGTAATGCAAAAACTTGTAATGTAAACGGTCTATGTGTGCACCAAAGTCTTTACAAGAGCTCAAAGAATTTTCACTACGGCTAATCATCACCACGAATTGGCCCAATGAGATGACACTGAAAATAAATTATTCATTCGAGAATAATACCAAAGTGCGTGTATATATTATAGTGAAGCTTCAAAAATTCGATTAGTTTTAGATTTGCACATAACTTGACTTAGAATTGATTTTTCTCTAACTAGAAAGTAAAGTACTGAACAATTTCCCTTTAGTGAGCCTACCTAAAAGAACATCAGGCACGCAGGCGTGGCCGATGTTGTAGGCCATGACGTAGACCGTGAGGCAGAGCAGCGGTAACCAGGATACCATCTTCACAGCCTGCTCGCCAGCCTTCTCCAGGATGTACAAGTAGAGCGCCAAGCTTCCTGCCGATAAATATAAGTATTATTTTCTACTTTCTTAGCTTGACAGTCTATCAGGATGGA